TGCAAATTTACTCCCTATTTTTTCTTCTAGGAGTTTTATGGTTTCAGGTCTTACATTTAAGTCTTTAATCCATTTTGAATTTGTTCTTGTATATGGTATAAGTAGGTGGTCCATTTTCATTTTTTTGCATGTGTCAGTCCAATTTTCCCAGCACCATTTATTAAATAGACTATCTTTACTCCACTGTAAATTCTTTCTGTTTGTTTATATGAATTAGACAAAATAGTTTTCCCTGTCTTGAAAAAGTTGACTTATGCAGAAGTGACCTTTGTGTAGGCTGTGTGTGCTGGGTGGTTTTGGCAAGCTGGTAAAAGCTGAGCAGATGCTTATGGTGTCTGGGGCACTGGCCTACTAAGCCAGAGCTGTTCCGGGTGGAGAGGTCACATGTATGTAGTAATACCCTGTTGATCCTGCTTGCTTCCTTTGGATGGAAATGGGTTCAGGTGGTGTGTCTGAGAATGTGCTGCTGTGACCTTGAAGGTAGGCCATGCCACCTGGTGAGACACCTCACCCATCCTATGGAGGAAGACATAAACAATGGTGCTCACCAGCACCTCTGACCCTAGAGAATTCCTGAAGTCCCTGAAGAGCTCCCATGGTTCCCTAGCCTTCTCTATACAGTCTCTTGTTTCTTGTATAGAAAGGGGTCCCATGTAGAAGTAACCTCTGTGTAGGCTTTACTGTATAGATAATTATAACTAAAGAAATGCCCTGGAAATCTGGTTGAAGAAGAATAGCCACACAAAACCTCATACTTTACAACCTCAGTGCTACCTAAGCATCAAAATGAGGAGTAGGCTGCATTCTTTTGACAAATGGTAATGTTCTTGACAATTTCCTCTTCTCAGTGAGTTCCCTAAGAGCTTGATATGCTTCACGTTGTCATCATTCTCCAGAAACAAAATTGCATTGTCCAGCTTTGCTTTACAATGGATGGCAAGGCATTAGAGCCTCAGGGAATTGATAGACAGACTTGAAAATGTTCATCTGTAGTTAACCTTCCATGGGATTTTGTGTTTTCAAATGACCCAAACTTATAACATTTTAATGACGGTTCACATATCAAATTTTCTCTTCTGATGGTCACATTTTATTTGGTTAGTGATGCTTATATTGTTATACAGGGCTCCAGGGCATTTATGAAGAGCTTAATCCTGAAACACATCTTTATTTGTTGGGTACAATCTTTTCAGGTTGTTAAATCAAAGGTGGATTAAGAGCATTGCTTTTAAATAACTGAATTTCTTTTTTTTTTTTAAGCTGAGCCATCCTGCCACTTGTTGGCAGCTCAGTGGCTGCTCAGCTCGGGCGGAGAATCGAACCACTGTTGCTCAGAGCTCAAACTCTTGAGCGAGCTCTTAACCAACTGAGCCACTCGGCTGGCCCTAAATAACTGAATTTCTAATGAATGGGAAATAAAGTCAGTTTCCAAGGGAGCTATTATATTATACCCAAATGTAAAGTAATTAAATTACATTTTATGAGAAAAGTACAACTGCACATGGCATTTTCCATTGTTTACAAGATCCACAGGGCAGTGTGAAAACCTCACATTTGTATGGAGCCATAAAAGCCCCTGAACAGCCACAGCAATCCTGAGAAAAAAGAACAAAGCCCGAGGTGTCACACTTCCTGACTTCAAGCTATACTATTGGGTCATCGGAAAAGTCATGACGTATTTTTTCTATGTTTTCTATGCAAAAATGCGTCATGACTTTTCCGACGACCCAATACAAAACTGCAGTAATCAAAATAGTATGGTATTGGCTGAAACACACACACACACACACACACACTCCCCCCACCCCTCCCATGGGACAGAATTGAGAGCCAGAAATAAACCCGTAGATATATGGGAAACTGATTTTTCACTCACACACACACACACACACACACACACACACACACACACACAATGGAACAGAATTGAGAGCCAGAAATAAACCCATATATATATGGGAAACTGATTTTTGACAGTGGAGCCAAAAACATACAATGAAGAAAGAAAAGTTTCTTCTGGGAAAACTGGAAAGTTACATGCAAAAGAATGAGACTAGGCTGCTATCTGAAAACACATAAAAATTAATTCAAAATGGATTAAAGACTTGACTATAACACCTAAAACAATAAAATACATAGTAGAAAACATAGGCACTAAACTTATGGACATTAGTCTCCGAGGGGTTTTTGGGAACTTTAGCCTAAAGACAACGGAAGTAAAAGCAAAAATAAATGAATGGGACTACATCAAACTAAAAAGCTTCTGCACAGCAAAATAAACCATCAACAAAACAAAAAGGCAACCAATTGAATGGGAGAAAATATTTGCAAATGATACTTCCCATAAGGAACTAATATCCAAAACATATAAGACCTCTTACAACTTAACGACAAAAAGCAAAAAATCCAATTAACAAATGGGCAGAGTGCCTGAATAGACAGTTATCAAAGGAAGAGAGACAGATGGCCAACAGATATGTGAAGATATGCTTAACTTCCCTAGTTACAGGGGAAATGCAAATCAAAACCACAATGAGATACCCCTCACACCTGGTAGAATGGCTATTAACAAAACAAGAAATAAGTGTTGGAGAGAGTGTGGAGAAAAGGGAACCCTCATACACTGCTGGTGGGAATGTAAATTGTTATAGCTGCTATGGAAAAAGAGTATAGAGGTTCCTCAAATAATTAAGAATAAAGCTACCATATGATTCAGAAATCCCTCTTCTGGATATCTACCTGAAGAATTTGAAAACATGTATTCATAAAGATATATGTTCCCCTATGTTCACTGCAGCATTATTCACAATAGCCAAGACATGCAAACAACCTAAATGTCCTTTAATGGAAGATTGGATAAAGAAGATGTGAGATATAGATAGATAGATAGATAGATAGATAGATAGATAGATAGATAGATAGATAGATAAATATAGATATAGATATAGACAGATTGATAGATATAGATATAGATATCTATAGGTATATAGATAGATATCTATAAATATATATATATAGATATAGATAGATATATATAGATATAGATATATAACTTCACTTATATGCAGGATATAATGCAAAAAGCAACAAGGGAATCAACAAAACAAGCAAACAAATCAACTCATAGATACAGACAACAAAATGGTGCTTACAGAAGGGAAAGGCGGTGAGAGAAGGACAGAGGGTAAAGGGGGTCAGATATCTGGTGATGGAAGGAGAACTGATTTTGAGTGGTAAGCACACAATAGAGTATACAGATGTGTTATAAAGTTGTACACCTGAAATTCATATAATGTTATTAACCAATAATATTACCCCAATCAACTTGATAAAAGAGAAAATAATATGTTCCAGACAAAAGAACCAGCATGTATGAGGAAAGAAATGATCAATAAAAATAATAATATAGTAATAATATAGTAATAGCTGCCCCCCCCAATAAAAAAAGTGTACCTGCCAGTATTTGAATTGTCCATGGCTGTGCAGGTACAACTATACAGCTATGAACAATAAAAATTACTAAGAGCAATATATTGGGTTGTCAGAAAAGTCATGACGCATTTTTGCAACAAAAAACAGAAAAAATACATCATGACTTTTCTGACAACCCAATAGTAACCAAAAAAATCTGGGGTGGTTATATTTGGCAAAATACTGAACTGGCCTGTGCTATAATTACAACCATCAAAATAGCCTTACATAAGAACAAGTTACTTTAAAAATGGTGACTACCAGGTAGCTGAGGGGTTAGTGCCTCAGACCCTCTTGGGTCCCCTTGTGTCCCAGCTGTGGGCCTCTGACCTTCCTCAGCTCAGGTGGTAACTAACTCCATGGAAGCACAGCCCACTGGCCTGCACCTTCTGCCCACGTTGTGTGCCTCTCACCTCCTGACTCTGAACTTCTCGTTGCCAATCACATGTGAAACACACATGGTGGGACCTGCCCGCACGTGAATAACCCAGGACAACGGGGGATACCAGCCATCTGAGTAGAAACTTTCTACCTCGTCCTGGGAGCCAGGAGACCATCTCCTCTTTTCCTGGCCCTGGGCAAAACCCTAAAGGGCAGTAAGTAGTTCACACAGCTTTCATAAGGCCTTTTGAGAAGGAGCGACCAGTTGTTCCTGACACCAAGCATGCCTTGTTCCTTTTTTCTATCACTCCTACTTCCCTGGCATTAGATTTCCTAATAAAGTGTCCAATTGTGCCTCAAGACTCTATTTTCTAGAGAATCCACAATAGGAGAAGTCCGTGATGACCGGATCTATCTATGGAAGAATGTTATGTACTGCCCGTGTCACTGAGGGTTTTATTTGTGCAGTAAATAAACTTGGAAGAACAATAAATCTTTCCCTGATTTCCACTTTGGTTTGTCTGTCTCTCCATCAAACAGGCTGGCTATGTGCAAACTGATCTACAGGTTGACAAGAGACCTGAAAGTCGCTAAATCGGGCTAAGCCTCAAACTGTAAGGCACATGCGAGTCCCATTTGCTCACAGCCAGACGATCTAAGGTGTTCAGGCCCCAAATTGCCTTTCCTTAGGCTTTGTGTGTCTGGGATAATTTTGGTATTTGACCTTTTCGGTTTTAAATGTCTTTCATCATTTTCTCTTCTGAACTCAAGACAGTAAACATTGACCACCCTGTCAGCTACGGGTCAACTTCTAGCAGATGTAGAGGTAGATTAGCAGAAGAACACTAGAAATAAAACTATGGAAACACATTGTAAATCAACAGATGCATTGTACAATTACAATGAGTATATTATTTCTTCTGACATCAAAAAAGCAACAAATGCTTTTTTATTTTTCCTTAAGACTAAAATAAACTGAAGAAAACATAACTGACTTACCAGGTCCCAGTTTCCAACGGCCCAGTGACAGCAAGGGTGCCTGTTGCAGAGGGCAGTAGAGGCGGGTCTTTTCGCCCAATTACAGAGTCCTCCCGGACAAGTCACTCTCCTTTCCTGAACTCCGCCTCCGCAGGACCTGGAACACTGATACACCACAGGGACAGGTTAGGTAAATATCACATGGTGACATCTGCAGGGATAAGGGAAGAATCGTTACTATTTGTTGTGTACGGTGCTATTTAGAATATTAGTATCTGTATTGGAATCTGCAGCATCCGTGCCAGGTTCCTTCCAATGACCACTCAGTCCTTTCAAACAATTGCGGTGACAAGAATTAAAAAGAAGACAGGAGATTTATAAAGGAAATTCTGAAGATAAGAGGAGAAAACAAATCAGAAGGTGCCAAACAGTTCAATGTCCATGTGTCAAACAGGAGGAATTTCGGTTAAAAACCTAAACGAGTCATCATTCCAGAATGGACATTGCTATCTGTATTTTGCCTTCTGACACAAGTGTCTAGAAACCAAAATGTAAACTACAGATGTTTTTATTATGATTAGCTCTGACAGCCTAAACAGTGACACATTTGCAATACAGTTTTGTTCATCTATTAAAATGGGATTCAGTCTTCCTTTCCCAACTACCCAAAGCTGAGAATTAAATTTTCCATATTTGGAACAGGAAAATTGGTAAGTTTGCTTGGGGTCATTATGCACTGACTATCATGCACCCAAAATGAATCTGAAATACCAAGTTGGATTCCTGAAGGAATACAATTCTAAAATGTGTCAGGTTCTTGTTCACTAGAATAATTTTATGAGACATTGTCTCGTTTTCCTGAGGTTTCTGGGAGGAAATAATTCACCAAGAATCTCGAAAAGCACTTTGAGTATCTTGGATAATCTTAGTGCTTTGAAAAAATCTTAATTATGGTATTGTAACAACAAAAAGTTGTCAACATCTTGCCCTTCACATCAGGCACTATGTGTGTGGTAGTGCCACAGAAAACAGGGAAATGCTATACAATTACCCCTTTTTGCTCAATGAAAGAACTAATCTAGTGCTTTCACAATATTCCAGCTTCGAGAGTCAACATGGATTCCCTCACACACACTTATTCACTCTATTGACCATGTGTTAATGGAGAGAAGGGCAGGAACCCCACATTTGGGATCCTTGGACAGACCTACACGTGTGCCTGTGGCTTGGGGCCACCTGGCCAGGTAATCTCCAGGAAAAAGGGATGAAGAGGATATAAACCAGTGGTTCTCTAAGTGCGGTCCCCAGACCAGCGGTTTTAGCGTCTTCTGGGTACTCGTCAGAAAGGCCAAACTTCCCGCCCCGCCCCTGACCTCTGAATTGGATACTCTAGAGGTGGGGTCCAGACATCTGTGTATTAACAAACCCTCCAGGTGATTCTGGCTAAAGTGTGAGAGCCACTGGAGCAGAGACATTCCCAGAGCTGAAACGCATCTTCCATGCAAGCAGTCTGGGCTGGCTGACATTCACTGAAGGGCCCCAGAACGTCCCCATGATAGCATTAGTGTGTGTAGACAGAACAGCATCACGATGGCTCCGGGAAAGCACCTGTAGGAGTCTAGTCCCTCAGAAGCTCCAAGGAAATACCCAACTGACTTTTACGTTTTACATCTCCAGAGCTCAGAGCCTCAGAGGGAGGACTTCCAACTTGGTGGTTTGCTCAGAACAGAGCAATTTAGAGAAAAGGGTGGTGGGAGGCCTTCAGGGTACTGGCTCATTATTGGGGATCCCAGGAGCTACTGAGGAAGCATTAAAGAATACATCTTTTTCATAACCAGAGAGCATATATAATTGCTCATTTTTGATAACCTGCAAATGCTATGTATCTGACAGGGCAATCTAAGCCCCTCTGCAAATGCCAGGGTTCTGGAAGCCTTCACCAGGCTACGCATATATGGACAGCTTGGAGGCCAATGCCCAGAGCATGGGGTAGCAGGCACTTCACGTACTCAAGAGCTGGGCAAGGGAAGGAGGAGAAAGAGGGGAAAGTGGTGGCTGCTGCCCCCCAAAACACCACACCAAGTACTGGCCCAGAGGGTTAAGAATCAGCGTGGCTGCTTGACCCACTAGATCAGCGGTTCTCAACCTGTGGGTCGCGACCCCTTTGGGGGTCGAATGACCCTTTTGCAGGGGTCGCCAGGTACTCATATGTGGGTGTATCTGTATGTGGGCCTGGAGACGGTTAGAGGAGCACTGTCTCAGTTCCTAAGACCATCGAAAATATGTGTTTTCCGATGGTCTTAGGCGACCCCTATGAAAGGTTGAGAACCGCTGCACTAGACAGTAGGTAGCTCTAGGGGGCTCAGTCTCCACAGTTTGACCCTAATTCTATATCCTCTAGTGCTGTTCTCTACTTTCCCTTCCCTGCCACATGGTAGGTTCCCCCAAATTGTTCTCAATTCACTCTTTCTCATCAATTCACTGTTTGCTCAATGCCCACTGGCTAAGGTCTACAGTAGAAAGAGTGCAGGCATTGGAGTCCGCCTTGTGCTTGAGTTAATACCACACCATTTACTTTCTAGTTGTGTGACCTCATGTACGCTTCTTAACTTCCGAGTCTCAATTTCTTCACCTATAAAATGGAATGAAGAGACCTACCATCTGGGCTTCTTTGAGAATTAAACCAAGTACTGTAGGTAAAATGCCTAGCTCATGGACACAAAATATGCTGTGTTTTTTTCCTTTTCTTTCCACCATGCATAGATGTAATTAGGAGTAGTGTGTGTGTGTGTGTGTGTGTGTGTGTGTGTGTGTGTGTGTGTATTTGCCTATTGGCAAATGAGATCATATTTCACCAAAGGACAGTAACTTGTTTTCATGTGCTAAACTAGGAAAAAGACCCAGACACAGACACTTCTTTTTATTTGTGCAATGATCTGGGCATTTAACTGAGAGGTGGAACTCTAAAATATACTGTGTGTGAAAGCATCTGACCATTCCCTCCAGCCCGACTACGGAAGCTAGGAGAGGCATGCGAGGCTCTGTCCTGAATGGCTCACATCAAAGTAGCCCATGTACATTTCCCCAGCAGGGACCCCAACTCCCCTGAATATCCACTGAGAGGCTAGCTTCTAACAAAACCTTGAATTGTCACAACTGAAACCACACAGCAGTCTTCAAGTTGCTGACCTGTTCAGCCTCCCCCACACAGTGATGCATCATTGAATGGAGGCCATGATGCAAGTGTGGTCTTCCCTGACTTCTAGACTCACGTGGTAACACAGACATTCACGTGGGCCTGGCGGCGTGGACGGTGTACTGGGGGACCTTACCTGGCTCCAGGGTTCCACCTGCCACTCCTCGCAGGGCTCCATGTTACAGCTTGTGCTCGGTGCGGGAGTAACGCCAGCCTGGAACTGGCAGTGAAATGGCCTGAGGCTCCGGTGGTCCCTGCTGTCCACACACTGAATGTCCCGGATCTGGAAGCCCCCGCTGCAGTTCCTGGAGCACTGTATGGACAGAGAGAAAAGGGGAGACCTGAGTTGCTGGGGTCAGGCCTTCCCAGGGGGATTCGCAAAGCACTGTGAAGTTCCAGGCCTGCAGTCATGAAGAGGGATTAGTTCTAGTTCAAGTGAAGTGTTTTCCCTTCGCGCGCCACAGAGAGGGACTCACTCAAGCTGATCCCGGAAATGGGGCTTCAAGTGTTAGGCGTGCAACAGTGAGGGTTTGATGTCTGACAGAATTGGGGGTGACGTGCAGTTCTGTCACTCATTTGTTGTGACCACTTGGGCAAGTCACAGAAACATTCTGAGCCTCAGGTGTTATAGCTGTAAATTGGGATAATGACTGTTACCTCACAGGGCTGTCGTGAAATCATAGACACTAGGGTTGGGGTGACTCCTGGCACAGCATCTGTCCGAGTGGACACCTGTTCCCTCTGATGTCTGTATTCATTCCAGGTGAACAGGACTGCCCACAGGGGACCTCTCTGCCAAGCCACACCCACCTCTCCATCAGAATCCTGCTAAAAACCTGGCTTCTCCATGACTCTGAAAGCAAGACGGGTCGCCCTTTCTCCAGCGAAGGGTCTATATGAAGGAAATAGATGGAATAACTGCTGAACGGTTTGACTCACAAGAGCGGGCAAACCCTGTCGCTGTTCCCACCACCATCCATCCTTCTACAGCCAGCACCGCCTGCCTCCATCACTGAGTTTCCTCATCACATGCCCACTGAAAGCCATGACAGAGACCGTCCTCACTCCCCCTCTTCCCATGTGCTCACATCTGTGTGGCAGCCCCTTCATCCTGCTGTCTCAGTAAAAGGCAGGGTTCACCTGTAGACTGCTAACTGCCTTAATATCATCATGATATGGACACGCCACAGTCAACTAACGTCAGTTTATGAGGCCTGTTCTAGAGTATTTCTTTTGTTTACTCTCTGACCTTTTGGATTTTGGAAGTTACTCCATCCCCCACCTGGTTACATTTGATTTGATCATCACTTGAGCCTCTGAGACTCGGTCTCCAGCCTGCTTATAATGCTAGTTCCCTCCAAATCCCTTCGGCTTGTCTTGCCTCTGCACCCTCGTCTCTCGTGGCCAGTTCTGGCCTGGCCTGTCTTGTCACTGCCCACATTCAGGTTGGGACCTACAGTGGGTGGGATGGAGACAGACCCCTGTGCTCTTCAGCCCTTTCCCCCAGATTCTCCTTGGGTTTACAATATGTCCTTGTATCCTGAATGTTCCTTCTTCTAGCCGTTGCATTACCCACCAGCCACTGCCCTTCCTTTAGGCCTCAGCTTAAATGTCACCTCAGACAGGACTTCCTTGAATGCCTCAGTCAGAGGAGGCTCTCCCTCTTGTTCTTTACCTCAGCTCCTTCTCGATTTCTGTCACGGGGGCTTGAAATATGGAATAGCTTTTATTTATTCTGTGCTTTCTTTCTATTAGACTCTCACTGCCATGAAGTTGGAATCCTACCTGCCCTGGTCACTACTGTGTCCTGAACATTTTGCATCTCTGACACAGAGATGGTCCGTATAGACTTTTTGAATAAATATATGAATTCTGATGAAAGGGCAACCACGGGGGCTCTCCGTGGGAAAAAGAGATCCGTGGTCACCACAGAGATGAAGAATATCTTTCTTTACCCTCTTAATTCTTCTATCAATTATTTCATTGCAATCTTGGCTGAGACAATGCACCCCCCAGAAAGTGTGCATAGCTGCAGGTGTGTTTTCATCTGGCCCCTCTCTGCATGATAACAGACCATGCTCTCTTTACGGCCATGGTGGAATACTTATAATTATAGTGCTATGGTTGGGAAAAGAATATTCCTCCTAACCTTTCAGTAGGAGATCCAAAAATACTATCCCACTTCTTTTGCTGCCTGGAAGATTGCGCAAAATCAAATGACTTCAAACCTTGGGCTGCAACCTAGAAAGATCTGGGCCCATGTGATAAGGGGCCAGATTGATGCTCTAATGCTTTCATAAACCAAGTGTGTTCAGCTTCTCAGAAATAAGCAACACTTGAAAGACAGCCCCTCCCCCCAAAAAAGAAAGACTTCATTTTCCTGCCACGCTGTTAAGTACACAGAGAAAAAAGTAACTGCCAAATTAAAATCAGCTATGGAAGAAATGAGGAAGCATGTTAATAATGTCCACACAAGGCAGCCATTTGTCTGATAAGAGAGACTTCTGGGAAACTGCACATAGTTAAAACAAGGTCCCTCTTTATTGGGAAAGGGGCCATCAATGTTACAAGACATAAATGTAAAATGGGTTTTATTTTGTTATTTTTCCATTTGGTACTACACTCTGATATTCCTAAACTGAATTTTCAAATTGGCATCACCCTTTTGTCAATTCAACGGGAAATGAAGTTTATTAATATGCTGAAGTAAATAATAAGGAGACACTCATTAAATCTATGACTTTATTCCATTTTCAAAAGGAAAATGGCAGGATATTAAATCATTCCACTCCTAACGCTCTTCTGTCTTTGTGTGCTGAAGGCCCTACCAGTGGGTCATTTGTATTCATGTTTTCCTAACCTGTGGCCCAAACCGAGGACAGGAGCCAGGCTAATGAGAATAGAAAGACTGGCTAATGCCCTGTCATGATCAAACAGGCCTTTTTTTCCAGTTACTGCATCAGTTTAATGATAGAATCTGCAAACGAGATTGAGTTAGAATACAAAATACCCATAGCTTACAGGAGCCACTGGCAGAGATAAAATGAAAACACAACCATTTCTTCCTTGTGTTGCTATTGATTTATGAAGTCATCCTGATAGAAACACTTTCCATGTTGGACTCACACAGCGTGTTCAGATGACTATCGTGAAATTAGAGAACATAGGTCAGTAGACTTCATTCAGACTTCATTCAGTTATGAGCCTGACACCAAGTGGCTATATAGCCATGGATTAAACACTTCACTTCTCTAATCCTCGGTTTCTCCATTGGCATTAGAGGGAGGATAAACTAGGGGATGAAACCATCCCAACATTCTAGAGTGGTACAAGTGTATGGGATCACTAGATCTGTACTCCGTTTTGATTGCAGAATACTTTCTTGCTCTCCAAGTTGCACGCCAAATACTAAATTAGGATACAGAAAGAATTCTGCTCTTTCTTTATGCTAAACAGGTTCATAAGACCCTTAAGATAAAATAATTCATTCCAAAAATTCTAAGTTGCACAGCACCAAAATTCATCCTTCCATCTGTTCCCCCCACTGCACCACCACTTTCCTTCCTCCTAGTTATTGGGCAGTTGTCACATTCCAGGCTCCATATCCCAATCTAACAGCAGGGGAAAGTCACATAAATGAGAAGTAATCAAGATTTTATGTCATAAGTTGTTCATGATCGAGTGAGGGCACAAAGAAGAGGTGATCAATTTCTCCGGAGAGGTTAGGAAAGGCTTGAAGAAAGGAGCCAAAGCTTGAGCGGAATCCTGTAAGGTGGGTAGATGCTCACTCAGCTGGCAAAATAGGGTGTGTGTGGGGGGTATTCAAGGTGGAGAGAATGGCATATACAGAGGCACAATGCTGTGACAAGGCTTCTTTAGAAACAGCAAGTTGATGAGAATGCTAGAGCAGGAGGTAGGGGTAGAGAGGTGGGCAGAGCCATCATGGAAGGCCTCCTGGTCTGGACATCAGTCTACAGTCAGAGTGGTCTTGGGTTCATGTTTCCTGAGATTCCAAAGGCATCTATTTAATTGCTGTTCCTCTAACCCTTTCTTTTTAGGGATCCTTTAGTCTGAAACCCTAAGGGGTGTCAAGAGACGGCAATAGTGTAGACATACAACAAATTATAGCAAGAGTGAAATAAATGCAGTGATTCTCAGTATATGAACCACCTTCCTGCTATTCAGTTTTTGCTTTCTGGGGACAAGCGCTCCCCTATAATGTGCAATGCTATGTTTTGACTTTTGCACATTGGACTTTAATATGTGTTCCAGGGGAAATATTATGTATGAAAGTTGGGGACTATCTGCATTTAGCAAGACGGGGCTCTTTCTCTTAAATACATTTGTAAAAATTCGAATCTAAAAATTGCAGCACTGTCATAGACAATCTGTAAAATCCAATAAACATGGAGAAAAGAAGTAGAATGAGACAGAAGGACTAGCAATATATAAAACTCAAGGCCATAAGGAAAGGCTACCACTTTTTCTTATTTTCCAGCAAAGCTACAGGTAATAAAGTCAACCACTGCTAAAATAAAAGGGCAATATTGCCTAGGTGGGACAGCCAGAACATTCCAAGAAAAAAATGTAAACCTATTTCTAATTCATTTCAGAAATATTCAAGATCTCCTAGACTTCACTATGAAAGGACAGTGCTCATGCTAGGAGAGATAATAAAAGGGTTGTTAAACCAAAAGTTCACCAAACTTTAGAAGATATAGGCAAAATGTTCAATCAGGAAGTGTATGGAGCTGTGGATGATGCACAGCTTTGGTGTCAAGCCTGATGGAGGGTTTTCCCAGCTCATCTTTACCATGTATTGTACGTCTTCCACCACAAAATCACTTTTGCTGAATAATATTGAATGTCAACTATAATTTTATGTATATATATATATATATATATATATATATATATAGTCATGGGATGTGGAGTACAGTATAGGGAATAGAGTGGAGAAAAAAAATCACATACAAATTTTAATGTTCTGAATTTGGCATGCATCTTACAACTGACTGACGTACTTATGGTGCAGTGTTTCCTTTCTTTCTGAAAAGCTGTAATTAAATTGATGACTTGTCCCTCACGTGATGGTTTCTTAAAACTGAGGGTATTTACTACTAGCTGCGTGATGCAGTGTTAGTGATTTAAAGCTCCAAGCTTTCCTTTCCTTGGTGGGAATTATGAAGGAGGTCTTGTATTGGTTGAAAATTACATTGTTTAACTAAAGTTCTTGTGCAATGTTGGGAGCATGGTGGTATTTGGCGAGTGCCAGGGCCCAAGGTCGGTCAAGTCCGCCAAAGTTCATGGACGGTGACCACCTTGTCTGCTTAGTCCTGGGGAATGGACACCTGCTCGAGCCAGTCACTCCACTGACAGGACTGACTCCACTGTCACCTAGCCACAGGCCTCTGCTCCAAGTCTAGGAAGGCTGAGGTTAGTAAACTCGTAAGACCTAGTTCTACTCTTTACTTGGAGCTCAAAGTTTTGCCAGGGTTTCATCTGAACAGCCTTTTACCATTTATAAGGTTGTTTCAGAAATATTCTCTCTTTTGATCCTTGTAACAACTCTAAGAGGTAAACAGAGGCAATATTCTCCATTTCTCAGAGATGAGCAAACTAAAGGTCCAAGAGGTTAGCTGAATGAACGGACCAGTGTCATACGCTGGTCAGGGACAGAGTGGGGCACTAATTCAGATGCGCCTGATCCCCATCAGCCCTGAGCTGCTTCTCATATTCAATCCTGCAGAACTATGTTTTCACAAGTATGCCTCTGGGACAAACCTGAGGAAGACGACTTTCAGTTTGTTTCAGACAGATTAATGTATCAAGAGGAGGCAAGCCATTCTGAAAAACTACTTCTACACATTGTCGAGGTAGAGATCTGATGTACAGTCTCATTCTACTGTCACATATGAGAGAATATCCACAGCAGCTATATCAGGCTTCATCAAGGATATGAGTGGGGCTAGAGACAAGCCAGTAAAGCAACTGCGATTCAGACAGCAATCACAGAAGTAGGGAATTACTGGGGAGGAACCTGGAGGCCTCAGGTATTTTACCTGTGGGTTCAGGTAAGGCTGCAGCATATCCTGCAGACCTATGAGGATTAAAGTATCTCTGGATTTGGGGTAGAGATTGGTGGGATACTACAGAAGTTTCAAGAGAACATTAGAATTCTTCCCTCTGAAAACGAATCTGTGAAAAGGCAAATTTGTCAACTTGGCAGAATCTAAACTCTATGGATATTTAACAACCAGGGGTGAACTTTCCTACTCTAGGTTTTGGAGGTTTGCTCCTGAGTGAGCTGAAACGTCCTGATGGAATAGTGAAACTAAAAAGGCCCCCAAATCTTTCCTCAGGCATGATTTGGACTTCAGACATCCGTGAACTGGTTAACGATGTGGGAGTCAAAAAGGAGCCTCTCTTAACAAAATTTAAAACCTAAATCAAGGAAACATGGAAGTCATATATGCAATATTCATAATAGTCAGGAAAAAACAAAAGTCAGGGTAATTAACTATCAGTAGTTAAACAGTGTCTCTGATATGAGGCTTATCTGTTATCCTCAGAAGAGCTATTTTCTTTACCGATAGGACTGTAGTAACTTTGAGGATTAGATTTTAGCTGTGGTGATTACTACACTGGCAGAGGTTGATGATATGTGAGAGATAGCTTCTCCAGGACCACAAAGGATGCTTCAGGGGTTAAGAAACACAGTATCTGCCGCCCTCTTGGCCATGGGAGATGGAGACCCAGAGACAGACAGAGAAAGGATGCGCTAGCAGAGCAGGGCTTTCCTTATGGGATCTGACCCTGGAGAAGAACCTCTGGCACTCACATTCAGGCTTTTACACCAGCTAGAATTCCCAGGGTTTTATACTAAGTGACCCTTTCAAAGTGTGAGCTATCTGTCCTTTTTACGAACCATGTAATTTCCAAGGAAAGGATTAGTCGCAGTGATGGGGAAGTGGACCTTTAGGATTTGGTCAGCACTCCACAAGGTCAGAGATAGGTATTTTCTGAGAGTTTCTGGATAATGAAGAGAATTTGTAGCGAAGCATTTCATCCTTGTTGGACCCTGAGTTTGTTATGAATTGGTAGAGAAAGAAAAAGCCAGCATTCATTCCTAAAAGAAAAACGGTATGCAAATAGAGAAAGGGAGGTTGGCAGGTATCAAAGAAATGCACAGTTCTCTCAGGGAGTAGCCTTCCTTCCCCTTTCTTCCCAAAGATCAGAGCCTCCCTTTGGGAAAAGCACCCTAAAGCAGGTAAGTGACATTCTGTGATTCTGTCTGCCAGGTAAGTCTGCCAGGGGAATCAGACATATCCAGTGAGACAGCTCATGGTACTACTTGTCGGGGAACATAAACTCTCCACTCCAAGAGGGTGCTAACGTCTAGAGCAGCTGTTCTCAACCTTCCTAATGCCGCGACCCCTTAATACAGTTCCTCATGTTGTGGTGACCCCCAAACATAAATTATTTTCGTTGTTACTCTATAACTAATTTTGCTACTGTTATGAATCGTAATGTAAATATCTTTTTGTTTTCCAATGGTCTTAGGCGACCCCTGTGAAAAGGTCGTTCAACCCCCAAAGGGGTCGCGACCCACAGGTTGAGAACCACTGATCTAGAGGGATGCCAGCCTCCCCAAACTTTTTGGTCGCTCTTTCTTTTACCTTCGGTCCCCAGGAGAGAAGACAGGTGTCTGTAGGGCATCCCAGGGTTGGGTGTGCTAGCAAACAAAGTGTATGCATGGCCCACCTCTGTACCCGCTCCTGCCAAGTGGCTCTCAGCCCCACTGATGACCAGTGTCTTCCAGCCTAGGTGTACCCCCCAGGGGCTGGCTCAGCTGCATCCAGAGTAACAGGCAGATTGGGTCTGGTCAGTGCCCCGGAGCCACTAAGGCTAACGGATCCTAAAACCTGATGCAGGCTTTCCCAAGGACGATGCAGACAACCCAGTAAAATGAGTGACCTCAGCCAGATCAGCAGACAATACAGCTGCACTTGAAAAAGCTCGGTACAGGAAATACACGTTTAAGGGCCCGATTCTTCTATATGGCCCAGCTTTCTTTTCATTTCGGGTCTGGCCAAGTAAACCGTGTATTTGTTTTGTGAGCAGCTGCTGAGTCATGATTTAATTATACATGTGATAATGTGCCATTATTAATTATAATGCTAAATTTAAGTGATTCAGAACTAGTGCTGCATGTCAGTCAAGCAATTAATTGCGCAAATGCAACTTCCCCCAGTGTCCCCCACCCCCGCCCCCTTCAGTTTCTCTGGGTAAGGGAGAAGACGGGCAGATAAAACTAAGTGGGTTAATAAAACCTCTGTACTTGTTCTAACACTACTGTACACAAGAGTAGGCCAAGGGTAATGCCTAGGACTTCTTCATCCACCATTTTATCAAAGACATGAGGCAGAAGGGAAGGCAGGGAGGCAGGGCGGGAGGAGTGAAACCCACTTTAGCAAATGTCGATATAAACGACCCCCACCCTCCCACAGCGCCGAGCCTGGTAAGTTACCTTGCTCCAGTTTCCCACTTTCCAGCTGGCGCACGGGCGGAGGTGGCATCTCTTCGTGGGCTCGGGCCTCTGCAGGGCAGCGCAGTCGGAATTCAGCTGGGTGCTGCACTCCACGTGGCGCCAGTAGGCCCCGAGCCCGCAGGTGGTGGAGCACTGCGGCAGGCGGGGAGAGAGACAGGCAGAAGCTGAGGCCACCTTCTCAGACACACCCACTCACACACTGGAGGAAGACATTCTGTCTAAAACTGCCCACAAAGCTTTTAAAAACTACCAGCGTTGGGGCCCCTGCCCCAGGCACATTCATCTGGATCTCTGCAGCTAGGGCCCAGGCATCAGTCATTGAAATAATTTCTCAATAAACAGCCAGGGTTGAGAATCTCGGATTTATATGCGGGAGGGAAACCCAATGCAAATAGGAATTTGCTTCCCTTTAAAAATTATGCAGGCATGAATGCCAAACTGCCGCATTTCATACCAATGCTGTTCCTAGTGGACGTCAGATCCATGCATCTGCCTCTTACCCTGTATCTGTGCAATGACACTATTTCACTTATTCCTCTACGTGACAAACTGTGGTGTGGACTGGTATTGTTATAGTGTAGACAAAGAAACCGAGGCTTGGCAAGCTGGCTGGCCCAAGCAGTCAGACTAGGATTTCTGCCTCCAAAACACAGTATGACATCTGTTGTGGCAGTACTTCTCACACTTGAGTGTCCACAGGAGTCACCAGGACACCTTGCTAAATGCAGATTCTGACTCAGCAGGTCTGGGGTGGGGCTGGACTGCACTCATTTCCAACTAGCTCCCAAGTGACGCAGACGCTGTGTGTCCTCAGACCACACTTGGGAGTTTGAAGGATGTTACACATGATGCTTGATCGACTGGTGGTGAATAAATTAGTTACCTTTTGTCACATGGACTGCCCATCCTCACAAGATGTTTCCATTTATTTATGATTCTTAAATATCTCAGGTTTAGCATGGAGTCACCTTGAAAACTATACAACTTTTCCCCCCCATAAATTCTTCCATTCTGTGTGGCTACTTCTTTCATACAATGGTTTTTTCTTGCATCCCCTCTGCCCTGCCCATCCTCAGCAGGAGGGGCTGTTTTTGGACACGTAAAACACAGTTCTGGGCTAATGGGGCAAAAAAGGCGGAAGTTTATGGACGGTGTAGAGGCCTGACCACTGCACTGTACATCTGAAGCTGCCATTGAATAATATTATATGTCAACTATAATTATATATACATATAGTCATGGGATATGGAGTATAGTGTGGGAATGGAGTCAATGGAATTGTAATAGATATGTATGATATCGGGGGGCAATGGATGGGGGGACAGGGGTTGTCACTTTGTGAGGGATGAAAAGGATAACTACTACATTGTTTTATACATCTGAAAATAATAATAATAATAATAATAAAGGCAGAAGTTCTATCTATGACACTTTTGCAAGTTTCTTTTGATGAGGCATAAATAGAAGCCCGCTTTACATTTCTCCTGCTGCATTTTCCCCTTCCATATAATATCATGTTTCACTTTGTGCAAGTTCTTGTGTTATGACACATATATAACATAATACAGCTTTTAGGTAGGTAAGTTTGCTCTAGAGTCATAGACAGGGAAGAGTAGAAAATAGCCTAGATTATCATTTTTTTTTCCCCAATTGGCTCATTTATGGAGGTAATCTCTCCTCCTCCTTCAAGTTCTTTAGGATTTGGTTTGCATCTCTCCTAAGTTCCCACACTTTCTCCTGTGTACTATATTATGTATGTATGATAGAGATAATATTAATAACAGCTGAAGTGCATTGACCACTGTCATAGGCTGACTGCAGTAGTGGCCCGTATTTCTCACACCCATGCTCTTTGCAATGGAACTTGGCAGCTCCCTTCATCAAGGGGTGGAATGTATTTCCCCAGCTTTTGAATCAGGACTGTTCTTGCGACTTTCTTTGGCCCATAAAATGCAGTGGATGATGTGTCAGTTCTCAAGAGGCCTTGCTTGTTTTAGTTCTCTATCTTGGACCGCTGTCTCTGCCATGAGAATAAAACTAGGCTAGCCTGCTGAAGGATGAGAGATCACGAGAAACAGAGCTGGCTAACCCCACTGAGGCCGTTCCAGACGAGCTAGCCTTCAGCCTACCCTCCAGCAGATGCAAGCCAAGGTGAGATCAGCTAAGCTCAGCCCAGCTCAGCAGAATCTCCCAGCTGACCCATAGGCTCATGAACAAAAATGTTTACTGAGGTGTTGTGGTTGTTTGTTATTTAGCATTATTGTGGCAATAGACAATTGGTACAACAACAGAACAGTTACCCTTCCTCCATTTTCTCTGAATTTCTGAGATTCAGGGTATGATAGTTCTGCAGTTGGCTAACTGTGTGATCTTTTGCAGTCTCCTAACTTCCTTAGCCTGGAGAACCAGTGAAAACACCTTGGGTTGTTGTAAAGACCACAGCAAGTTAAGGAGACGGGATTCACATCCAAAGCTCTGTCTCTCCAAAGAGAAGCTTAGCCATTGTTATATACACTATTTAGTTAATTGCATGTTGATTTCTTCTTGTTTCAGTTCTCTCTCTTGGCTAGCCTGCTGAAGGATGAGAGATCATAGGAAACAGAGCTGTCACACCGTCAGTGCTCTACAAATATTACCTACTAAACACAATACACCTGCAAGGTCAATGAAGTCCCATCTTCCAGATATCGGGGGCCCAGAGAGTTTAGAAGACATACTCAATGTCACACAGACAGTATGTTGTTAATTTCATATTATGACATGGAGAAAAACATGACGTTTGCCCAAATCCAGGAAAGGAGCTAGGGAAACCAAATTCCCAGGATGACCCTGGTAAATCTCAAGTGATATCTATAGTTCTCTGCACCATATTTATGTTGCAAATAAATGTATGTTGTCCCTGGAACTCTGTATCTAGTCCTGCTGGATTCAGACGTCATGAGCCAACATCTGTTTCATTCCTGTTTGACAGTTTCTATTTAGGCAGTAAACAATAGGTCCAAAGGTAAAACCGACAGGAAGGTGTCCTTGGAACGTAGAAAAGTAAAATAGGATTCCATAGATTGTCACTTGTTTTAGTTTCAAATTGGGCGTGAGGGATCAAAGAAGAAAGGAGGACTCTGAGGAGGTAGAGGGACAATTTCATTTTGTCCTGGAAACAGATAGTGACCCCATGGCAACTGGTTTACAGGTCAAAAAGCAGGGTGTTTAAAACTGATGTGGGGGGCTGCATAAGAATCATGTGCAAACCGCTGTGAGAGGCTGTGGAAAATTATACTGTCACTTCCATTTACACGACTGCAGAGCCTATATTTAGCTAACTGGCCCAGGGGATCTGACTGAAGGAAGAGGCACTTCCACAAGAGGTGATTTTTTGTCAAAATAAGAGCCACACCCTTACACACTGCATAACACCTGTTTTCAGTTTTGCAAATAGATTATCAGAGCAAATACTGAGTGCTTCCTATTTGTTAGATATGACAAGAGTCTCAAGGTCTGGGTAGTTCTTTCTAAATGCTATTCTGGCTCAATGTTAAAATGCATCACAGTACTTTGCAGACTTAGCTGTAAACAGGATGAACTTGACAGAAACCCAACCCAATATGTATAGCCAACTGCAAAGGAGAAATCAACATGCAATTAACCAAATAGTGTGCATAACAATGGCTAAGCTTCCCATTGGAGAGACAGCTTTGGATGTGATTGTTGCAAGTAAATAAAATTGCCTAACAACCACGTCATCTTCTTCAACAGAACACTGGAAGTGGCAAACCCCTTGAGTTCGGAAATACTATATACCTGACACTCTTCTGTGTACCTTACAGAGTTATTCCTTTCATCTCATAACAGACCTACCATATTTCCCCATGTATAAGACGCACCCTTTTTCAAAAATTTGGAGTCTAAAAACTGGGTGCGTCTTATACAGTGGTTGTAGGTGGTTTTTTTTACAATTTGACACCAGCAGGAAGAGTGAAGAAACCAACGATAGGAGAAGTTTGTACCTGGGTGAAAAGAGCCTGGGATAATATCAAGATTGAGATCCTTGTCAAGTCATTTAAGAAGTGTGGCATTTCAAATGCCACAGATAGAGCTGAGGACGTGGCAATATATGAAGACAGTGATTGGTCATCAGACACAGATGAGGACAAGCTAATGGTTGGGAGTTTTGACAGTGATGAGGAGTTGTGTGAATTTTATGATGAATAAACTTGGGTTCAATAACTTTATGTAAGAATTTTTTTTTTCAAATTTCGGACCCCAAAATTCAGGTGCATCTTACACATGGGGAAATACAGCATAAGTCAGGCAATGTCATCATCGTCATTTTACAGATGAGGAAGCTGGGGACATACAGTTAATGACTGAGCCAGGATTCAAACCCAGAAAGCATGGTTTTATGCTTTATGCCCATTTATAATATTAAACTTGGTTTCTATATCAATTACTTAACTTTCGAAATCACAGTTAGAGGAACATGCTGTGTACATGGGGGACATGAACAGCCCTTCAACACAGGACAGGAAATGGGAGGACCCAGTGAGGGGGACTGCAGATTAAATGCCAGGGGACTTTAGAAATTCCAATCTTACTAATCAGGAAAGGCTTTATGGAAGAAGCAGCTCAAAGCTTGATGCTGAAGAACAGGTAGGATTTAAAAGGGCAGAGGAGGAAGGAGAGAACGATCCAGGCGAGGAAACAGCATAAACAAAGGCATTTGACTGAGAGTGGCAGGAGATCTGTGGAAGCTTAAGGTGGATGAAGAAAAGTGGGAGGTAGTCTGGTTTGAAAGCCGGATTATGTAAGGTTGTGAGGGACGCGGGATGTTAGAGTGGACTTGATCTGATCTGATCTGATATGTAATGGAGACACATTACAGATTTGTGAGGAGGAATTTGGAATGACCAGAAAATTCCTTTCAGAAGACTAATTTGGCAGTCTTACATCTCTTGTGACGATGTGTGGAAAGCATCAGAGAGGGGAAAGACGGGAAGTGCATAGACCCAGCAAGCAGGTATCCTAAGCAAAAAGTACTAACCAAGGGTCCTTCACTCTTGACTACTGAGGCACTATTAGCATTTTGGACTGGACAATTCTTCCTTATAAGGGGACTTCCTCAGATGTCACAGAAC